TAAGAGGCCTAATTTCTATTTTTGCCTCAGGCCACTATAATCTCATAAACAGGCCTGAATTATGAAACCACCTCACCTTAACTCTTTTCTGCTCTACATCTTCATGGAGATAGAGCATTTTAACACCAATCAACGACCAATCCACCATTGACTATAGCTCTCTTTCCAAATCGAAATAGGTGCACCACCAATAGCCACCACAGCCATTTGGGCCTATCAAAGTAACACTAGGCCATTGACAAGAAGTATCGTTGTTGTATGAACTCCACCATCTGCTATGAACTAAAGCTTTTCCCTCTAACTCTAACTCGATGTAGATTCTACAAGTGAATTAAAGTGATTCCAAGTAAATCTTTGATAAGACGTAGATATTTCAACTTCGAGTGAATCTCTAATAAGATTCAATTTGAATTTAAGGTTCAATTTATTTATTTTTGTCTAATTAGGTATTTAAAAGTGATTTTTAACTTTAAATTGATACCTAAATTTGATTTAATGATTTAAATAAGCCATTTACCATATTGGTTTGATAAAAAAAAAAGTGAAGTTCGGAATATAACAAGTTCGAAGGTCTAATGGGAATAAAACCTTTAGGCACAGTTTTTTTATGTTACAATGGATTTTTTTTAATGAACAATAAAATTAAAAGCCTCAGTGTGTAACCAACTTAAAAGTCTTTAATTCTTAAAATATTTAAATATATATCAGAGATAAAATAGTATTTTAATAATTTAACACTTACAATATTGCGGTATAAGATTAGGTTGTGAAAAGCGAAAATAGTTATAAGGGGACGTTTGGTTAAGGGTATCTCACATTATCAGAGGAATAAAATATTATTCCCCGTTTGGTTGACTAACATTCTCAGCCCCCGGTAATAAGTTATTTCCAATAGTGGTATTTTGGGGATATATTACTGAGAATGTGATTACCCCTTCCCTTAGGTATTGTTACATTCCCGATGTTTTGGACTAAAATACCCTTAATTGTTTTCAAAAATATCATTCTTTTGTCGTTGAATAAAAAAATTCTACGAATGTTAAATTACAAATTTATCCTTAAAAAAATTTAGATTTACAAAAAAAAAATCCATAATTAGAATTTTATATGAAGTTCAGGGGTTAAAATAAAATTGTACCCTTTTATTAAATCTATTTATCTTTTCAATTTTGTAAAAAAATATATATATAAATTTTATGAATTTAAAATTTTTAAAGAAAATATATAAATTAATTATAGTAATATTATAGTAGAATGGTTAAAAAAACAAATATATAATAAGGACAATTTAATAAATACATTCGAATAATATTTTATTCCTTTAACCAAGTACTATAATCTTACATTCCTGCTAAATGAACCAAACACAAAATACAACATTCCCAATAAACTTATTCCCTCCAATAATCCTATTCCCGCCAGTAATCTTACATTCACTCTAGTAATCTTTCATTCCGTGAACCAAACGCACCCTAATAGTACCGTAATGCACAAAAATTTAATATAAAAAATAGGATAAACTACACAGGTGACCACTAACTATTGTCAAAAATCATTTTGATCACTGATGTTTCAATTTGATCAAACAGACCATCCAACTATATAAATGATTCAATCAAGCCACCCACTGTTAACAGTTAACGGAACAGGTAAGTGGCAGTTAAAAAATATTTTGGTATAATTACACAATCAGTCCATGTTACTTATATATTTTTTCAATTCGGTCCTCATTTTAATAAATTAAAATAATAACACGTGTCATCATTCGATTGGAGGACTAATTTTTTTTTAATTAATAGATTTAATTTCATCCAAGAGTTGAAAGAAAATTAACCAACACTTAAAAAGGGTTGGAGGGATAGTACATAAACATCTTTGTTAGGGTAGAAAGAACCAAACCATTAGGCCAAGGCTTGCACTTGATTACATTTGTACAACAAATAATATATATTTTGCATTCTTGGTACATTTTTCTTTATACAACAAATAATATATATTTTGCATCTTGGTACATTTTTCTTTATACAACAAATAATATAATATAATTAATAAATAAATAAATAAAAATCAAGAATATTTTTTACATTAATAAAAAATACAAATATACAAATAATATTTTATATTAACAAAAAATTTATTGTTCGTGTTATATTAATAAATATATGAATATAATATTTTATATTTTAAAAATATATAAATATATTCTTATTATAAAATATAAAATATAAAATATGTTTTATAAAATATATAAAATATTAATAAATATATTCATATTATATTAATAAATTAAAAATATTTTTACATTAATAAAAAAGACAATTATATAAAACATATTCATATTTTTTTTGATAATATTTAATATTTAATATTTTATATATTATTAATATAATATTAATATATAATATAAAATATTATATTCATATATTTATTAATATAACACGCATAGTAAATTTTTAATATAAAATATTATTTGTATATTTGTATTTTTTTATTAATGTAAAAAATATTCTTGATATTTATTTATTAATTATATTATATTATTTGTTGTATAAAGAAAAATTTACCAAGATGCAAAATATATATTATTTGTTGTACAAATGTAATCAAGTGCAAGCCTTGGCTTAATGGTTTGGTTCTTTCTACCCTAACAAAGATGTTTATGTTCAAATCCCTCTAACCCTTTTTAAGTGTTGGTTTATTTTCTTTCAACTATGATTGGAGAAAATTAAATCTATTAAATTAAAAAAAATAAAATAAATTTAGTCCTCCAATCGAATGATGACATGTGTTATTATTTTAATTTATTAAAATGAAGAACAAATCAAAAGAATATATAAGTAACATGGACCGATTGTGTAATTATACCAAAATGTTTTTAACTGCCGAGTCACCTGTTTCGTTAACTGTTAATGGATGGTGGCTTGATTGAATCATTTAGGTAGTTGGATGGTCTGTTTGATCAAATTGAAACATCGGTGGTCAAAATGATTTTTTACCATAGTTGAGTGGTCACCCGTGTAATTTACCCTGAAAAATACTTACAATTTTGTTATGAAGTGTAGCTTAAGATGTATAATTAAAAGAATGTCCTCTACGGTCCTTATCAAAGCTACTAAAAGATTTAACTTGAAACATTAAAATGATCTTGTGAGGATATATAATCAATTTAGCTGGAATAGCTTAGTTGGTCAGAGTGTGTGGCCCTTAATCACAAGGTCGGAGTTTCAAGCCCTCTTGTTTGGAAGCTTTAGTAGTGTCAAATAATTTTGGATTTTTTTTCTTTCAGCGTCGTGCTAACTACGCGAAGGTTGCAGGTTTGCGACCTGCATTTGAATAATTTTTTACACTTTTTTTCCACACACACATTACTTGGTTTCTCCTGAACAGGGAGACCAATCGAAGGCAAAAATTGTTCAACTAACGGAAACATGTAGGAGTGAAGGTAACAATTGGAATTGATGTGATTGGAACATATGGTGTAAGCCTGCAGCAATTATGTTAGAGAACTTACCAATCAACTTCAACTACTGCCTGCTGGAGGAACCGTTGTTCTGTAATAATAAAAGGACTGATAGTTTAACTTTCACCCTCCATTTTATTTTCAGCATGGATGCAGTACCAAAAACACGCAGAGCAACGTTAGATAGGGTCAACTTTGTGGGAAGAATATGACTGAGTTCTTGTATTGTTTGTAGACATGTCATGGAATCCAAAAAGATTATTGATATTCGAGAAATGAATATTATAAAATTAGGATTATTGATATTGATGATATCAATATGTAAACGTTACTTTTATTTCTTTTAGATAAAAAATATTTATAATGTTTAATTACGGTTTAATTTGCACGAACCAATTTATTTAGAGTGATGAACTTTCATTATCAAGTTATTGAGAGTTGAGATAATGGAGGCTATATGGGTTTAGAAAGAATGGTCTTAGGGTTTTCTTTTCTTTTTGGATGATGATCAATGCTTACTGTAAGATATTGACATGATTTTTTTATCTTTAAAAAAATGTTCTTCAAATAGATCAAAATAACTAATATCATTAATCATTTTAATTAATTAACAATCAAATTATATCAAATTTATGATACTTTCAACCATTTAACATTAAATGTTCACATCCCTGACATTTCTGGTGCTCGAACCTGAGACCTTAAGGAATGACAACAATTCTTTTACTACTGAGGTCGCTCGGCTCGCACAATAAAAACCCTATATATAATATACTAAACACAAATATAACACTATATCTAAGCAAAAACAAAATAGAAACATGCGACTTTATATCCTCCTTTCAGTTTAAACAAAAAGGCATTTGATGAAGAGAAAAGGAGAGGAAACGAACTTGTTCAATGGTTTACATCCCAACAAGTGTATATGTAGATGGTGTAAAGTCTTGCACATAATACCAATACTATAAAGTTCCCTTAGCAGCTTTTACATCTTTGGTTTTATAGAATAGAATAAATCTTTGATTCTTCTCCATTCAGCATCAACAGTCTTCTCTTCCTTCTCGGCAACCTTGGCTTCGGCTTCACACTCTGCCAGTTCCTCTCCCAATGCTTCCAACTCCATTTTTATTCTCTTGGAATTTGAGAATATCCCCTTCCCTTCAGCCAGCATTTTCTCCCTTTCCCCTTGTGTGCTTCTTCAATTTGCTCATTAAGGGCAACAAGATTTTCCTCGATCCGATTCACCTCCGATTTGATATCCTTGTATCTGGTTAGATTAAGGTCCAAATTATGCATAAGTTCCAGCTTGACAGATTCCTTCTCAGTAAAATGATCCTTGTCCCGCTTGGCTTTCATTGCTCGATCAGCTAGTTCATGCAAGCTTTGCTCCATGGCAGACAGCACATTTTTTTGCTTCATTGTAAGAGTGGTAGAGGAACAATAAAAGCTAGCTAGGATCTTGAATGCCTTCTTATCACGTAGAGATCTCTTGGAAAAACAATAAAAATTAACAGGGGTCATATTCAGGGCTTCCTCTACTTTAGCCAGTGCTTCCTTTGCTTCTTCTCGAGAAAAGATCAGCTAGTTCATGCAAGCTTTGCTCCATGGCAGACAGCACATTTTTTTGCTTCATTGTAAGAGTGGTAGAGGAACAATAAAAGCTAGCTAGGATCTTGAATGCCTTCTTATCACGTAGAGATCTCTTGGAAAAACAATAAAAATTAACAGGGGTCATATTCAGGGCTTCCTCTACTTTAGCCAGTGCTTCCTTTGCTTCTTCTCGAGAAAAAACAGTTCTACAGCTTAGCTCAGACTCTAAGCTAGTGAAAAATGTGTTCATATCTTCATCAGTAGGATCTTCAGGTTCAATGGCCTAAAATGGTGGAAAGAAAGCGATGATATAAGTAATATATGCAATAATATTAACAAGTAACTGACCTTACTTACCTCATCCTGGCAAGAAGGCTCAGTTGGTGGAGGAGTTGTTAATTCTTCTGGCTTGGTTATCATAATTTTCTGGTTTTCTATGGCTGCCTTAGCACAAATAGCTTCCTCGGTCTTAAGTTTATCCGAATCAGTTTCGACTATTAGTTCATGTGAAATCAAAGCTTTAGTCCTATCAATGGAAAAATAGGCTTCAACCAAGCATGCATCATTGACAAGATAGCCTCTTTTAGGGTCACGTAATTCATTAAGAGGTAAGAATGATGTGAAGCCGAAGACACCATTTCCCTCATCTGCTCTGAATTCACGCGTAGCGACTGCTAAAAGTAAGAGTATGTATCATCACCAACAACTTGAGTAAACAAGATAGAAACAGATTCAAATAAGAAAAAATGGCATGGATAACATATTTGGCTTATGGTCTTTGATTGTCTAGACCATACCAAAGCCTCAAACAAGCTGAGCTATTGGGGGAAAATGGGAGATTGGATTCATAGACTCCAATTCTTTTTCTCAACCCACAACCAATATGAATCCGAAACTTCGCAGCCGGATAGGTCGTCATATGATGGGTAGCCCCAGTGTAATGTAAAAAAACCGTTGAGAATAACGATTGGAAGATAAATGCATAATACCCACGTGAGTCCGTTCCGTGAGTCGTTTATATTGCATTTGATTCTGGCCTATCTTTTCTATTTCTCTACACGTACATATATGGAAAGCTCCAGCATTCACCACATAGCGAGGCCAGGACGAAGGGTAACATACAAAATAATTGCTCAGCCCCCAAAAAAGATAAATGCAAAACAGCCAAAACAGAATAAGAGGAAGCAATAGCCAAGGAGAACATATTATAACAGTAAAAGAAACAGAACAAGGAATTCAAAGAGGCTTCGATGAATTTGAAGAAGAGACTGAGTAAATAACAAAAGGATGCAGCCCTTAAGAGCTAACATTCAACAAATGACCCAAATATCAGTAACTCTTCCCCTATTATACTATGACCATCTATGTATGAAAATAAATAAAACAAATTCACAGAGGGGAAAAAAGCAAATAGATAAGTTTCCACAAAAGTATATCCAATTCTTTAGAATCAAAGAACTATACACATATCAAACAACCATACCAGATCATCACTTAGATAGTTTTGAAATATCTACAACAAGAAGTTACCACTCTTTTTTCAACTCTTCTTCCTCTTCAAGAGCGAATTAGTATAGCTGTCTAGTAAAAGGAAGTAATTCGAACAACCATAATCGTTTCGTTTGTTTTATTGAAATGTGATTGCTGCAACAAAATACCTTGTGTAACGGAATTTCTCCTATCTATTTGATCGATGACGGCGAATCCGATTTGGGCATATGCACTCCACCCAGAAGGCAAAGTTGCTGAATTTGAAACACCTAAATAGATTGACAAATAATCCACATTGTTTCCCTTGGGGAAGATATGAATTTGCCTGCCAAACAAGTTCGCATGCAAATTATAACTGATGGGAGAAACAGTGCATATCAAAATAAGAACAAGAGTACGAAGATCAAAGTTACCATTTGATTCCCTCAACAATAAAATCCTCAGAGTAACACATTTCGTCTTCAATAGTGGAGAAGTTGTCAATCCTCCATGAGAACTTCCTTAGTTTTTCATTAATATCCCTACACTGAAACCTACCACGCACTGCACTCAAAATTTTAAACGTGAGAACAGAGACTAGAGCGTAGGATTTAGAAAGTGAGAAAGCAAAAGAAAACGTCAGGGAAAGATTATACATATTTAAAAATACCTCCCATGATTGAGTAATCTTGTGGTCAACTGCAGAACGTGGAGCGGGAGACTAGGGTTCCAAATTTGATCAAATATTGACGACTCCAGTCCTTTTACCCCAAGTTCGATTCCTACCTTCATAGAAGGATTTTCTTATATTTTCAAGTTTTTATATCTATATTATGATGAGATGTCATCATTTTTCATTTAAGATAAACTAAACTAAATTCTAATACCTATGATCACTTTTGTTTTTATTTAAAGTTAATTATCGTTGGACTTTCAATATATTACAAATAGAGAAAATAATTTCAGTGATCAAAAATCTCATATAATATACGATTTTAACCAATTTTTTTTAAATTTGCCAAAATGACCAACAAAATCGCAATGCGATCGCTAATTCGCAACGCGATCTCTATTATCGCAAATCAGTTTCCAGATTCGCAACGCGATTATTACTATCGCAATGCGATTTTCCAATTTCGCATTGCGATTTTCCCAATTTCGCATTGCGATTTTCCCAATTCGCATTGCGAATAAGTAAATCGCAATGCGATACTGACTATCGCAACGCGATAATACAAAATCGCAATGCGATTTACGTATTCGCGTTGCGATTTTCATAATTCGCAATGCGAATACGTAAATCGCAACGCGGTTAAGTAAATCGCAATGCGAATTAGGAAAATCGCAATGCAAATAAGTAAATCGCAATGCGATTTACATAGCGCCATTCGTATTAACGCGTATTTTTTTTTTCAAATTCCAAACACAAATTTTTTTCTTAATATATCGAAAACTGAACCGTCCACAGTAATCGCAACTCATAACCTCAAACCTAAAATCACAACACTCAGTCTCATCTCACTCTCAATTACGGTGAAAATCCGTCCATCTCCAGATTTCCGTCCCCATCGCCGGCGAAATCCCTCACAACCATTCACGATCAGAAATCCCACAATCATTCAGAAATGGAAAATCAACCTCCGAGGGTTAGTTTTTTTAATTATTTATTTTGAAATTTTTGCATTATTTAGGTTTTTCATATTGAAATTGATGATAAGTTTACTGGTAATTTCAATAGATTAACCATTTTCACTTAGATTTCTTATTAAATTCATTCGATTGCTGCCAATACTGCTAAACTGTTTAGTATTTAACCTTGTGAAGTTAGTATTTGTCTTTGTTTTGTCTTTTGGTTGAAGTAATGCAGAAGAAGAATAGTTTCGAGAATGAAAATCGCAACGCGGAAATGACTATCGCAACGAGATAATCGCAACGCGGAAATGAAAATCGCAATGAGAGAATCGCAACGCGAAATGAAAATTGCAACGCGAAACCAAAATCGCATTGCGATTTTCATTTCTCGTTGCGATTCTCTCGTTGCGATTTTCATTTCGCGTTGCGATTCTCTCATTGCGATTTTCATTTCCGCGTTGCGATTTTCATTCTCTCGTTGCGATTTTCAGTTCAACCAAAAGACAAAACAGTGTTGCAAATTTTAGTTTCAAGAATAAACTACTATTTTATGTTTATTGTTTTTTATATATCTTCACAGTGTAGTTTTTGGTATATCTAACTTGGTATGTTTATTGTTTTTGTAGAAATTTTTTTCGGCTTCATTGACATTAAGGAATAAAGTTAGCCTAGCCACTACAAATTGCTTCGAAGCTTTCACCTGCACAAAGAAAATTGTTGAGGAAACCTGCTTCGGGCCATGGCTGAGAGTACAGCATCCGGGTGGAGATGCTAATTTGACCCATTTGTGGCTTCAGACCATGACTAGCGATCTACCCGACAGTATACAACATGGTGAGGAAGAGATATGGTTTCATTTTCCACCGGCGTATACTTGTTTGGGGGAAGGAGTTCTGCTTATCACATGGTCTACGATTCGGACACGATGATGTAGGCCGGTACACTCGTCATATCACCCGCCCATCATGGTTATCCAGGGTTTTCCTGATGAGTCAATAGAAGCCGAACTTACACGTCGACTACATGAAGAAATTGTAATAAAAAAGATGATTTTACTCGGATGAATGACGTCGATGTTGTCCGAGTATGCCTTCTACTACTTTTGTATACCGGCTTTTTAGGCAGAGAGGCCAGACAACCTATTCCTCAGGAGCTAATATTATTGGTAGAGGACCTAAATGCATGGAATCTGTTTCTGTGGGGTTCATATATATGGAAAGCTACCTGGACTAAGTTGTCGTCTGCCTTTGATGACCGCAAAAGTTTGCGGGGCGATGGGTCGAAATACACTTTGTCAGGCTTTGTTTGGGCCTTTAGGTAAGAATTTCTATATAATGTTTTCAAAATTATAATTAATTATTTAACAATTACTAATGTTTGTTATTATATTGTTTGTAGATTTGGATATTCGAGGCTTTCCCTAGCATGCGGACATATGCATTAAAAACCTCAAATGATATTCCTAGGGCTATTTCCTGGAAGAGGAAACGTCTGTTGGATTGGGAAGACTTAATACCATATGCGACAATAAATAATGTAAGTTAACACAAATACTATCATATAAACAAGTTATTAATAGTACGTTTAACTTTGTTTGAGTTTTTATATTTTTAGGAGGCCAACACTCCATTAATGAGACTGACACCCACGGAGGCTGAGCTTTCCACTGATTGGTGGCAAGCTAGTCAGCGTTTTTTTGATGGCACGAACGATGAACATCCTCTATTTCCTCCACTTCGAGAGCCATCACCTCACCCAGAGCCATCACCTGATCGACCCGACTATATACCTCTACAACGAGAGCCATCACCTATCCCGTCACATCATCGAGCCTCATCTCCACCATCACCTCATGGTAGGTGACCGACAAAGATGCCACGACTTCTATCTCCCTGTTCTCCACCTCCACGGGATGAGTCAAGGGAGTTACGTGATGAGGTCAATGCCTTGCGTGAGGAGATCGGTACTCAACGCGATAACGATGGTGCATGGCGTGTGGAGGTGTCTACTTTACGTGTTGAGGTTGCCGCTCTACGTGAGATGGTAGTATCGTTGTAGAATGAGGTTCATACTCTACGCAACGAGGTAAGTTTAAGATTTTTCATATTTAACTTGATGATAAATTTACTCGTAATTTCACTTAGATTAACCATTTCACTTAGATTGCTTAGTAAATTTATTCGGTTGCTGCCAATACTGCTAAACTGTTTATTAACACTGTGAAGTTAGTAGTTGTCTTTTGTTTTATCTTTTGGTTGAAAGTAAATTTGTTTTTGCTGCCAATTGAAACTATTCTTCTTCTGCAAATTGAAACTTGAATGAATTGCATTACTTCAACCAATAGACAAAGACAAATACTAAGTTGACAATGTTGCAAGTTTGAAACATATTTGCCTTTGTTATCTGATGCATTTTGTGAACTATGATATAATAATGACTTGGGTGAATTTAATGCAAGTTTGAAACATATTTGTCTTTGTTTTCACTGTTTAAATATCATGTCTATTTATTTACTGATATTTGTATTTAATTATTTAGCAGACCGATAAGGTGGATGCTTTACGTCGGGTTTTTATTGCACGACAGAGTTCATGCATCAGACGGCGTGCACGTGCTATTAAGTCTCCGTACACCCCAATAGTGCGAAGACACCGCAAGAAGAAGCCCGACTCGCCTGTCATCCCTCAAGAGTCCACTCCTATCGTTGAAGAGGCCCCTATCATTCCTCGAGAGTCCCCTCCCACCGTTCAAGAGGCTACTGTCATCGTTGAAGAGGTCCCTCCCACCATTCAAGAGCCCGATTCACATGGCGTCATATGTAGGATTCTTGAGAAACCCTCTGACGTGCCGGACAAATATAAGACTTACCTCCCCCATCGAAATAGCCACTGTCTTCAACCCCTAATAACACACCCCACCAAGACCGATTAAGCAACAAATACATCTCATCGTTGAGTTTGCTTATGTCAGTGTAACACCCTTGGCTCCGCTCATGTAGATAAAAATCAACTGCGGTCTTAGCCCAAAGGGTATTATCCAGAATTATTTCCGGTAGTTGTCTCCTCTCCACTTCAGAGACCAGAAGGGTACTAGTCGGTAACTCATACGAGAGCCAACTCTCATCCATCATGTCCGGCAACGGTGGGGGTTTCTCAATAATTCGATATATTACCCCATGTGAATCGGGCTTTGGAATGGTGGGAGGGACCTCTTAACAATGACAGTGGCCTCTTGAACGGTGGGGGGAGATTCTTGAGGGATGATAGGGGCCTCTTGAACGATTGGAGGGGACTCTTGAGGGATGACAGGTGAGTCGGGCTTCTTCTTGCGGAGTCTTCGCACCATTGGGGTGAACGGAGACGTAATAGAACGTGCACACCGTCTGATCCGTGAACTCCGTCATGCAAGGAAAACCCGACGTAAAGCATCCACCTTATCAGGCCGCTAAAAAAAATTAATACATAAATCAGTAAATAATATATAAACATTTAAAAGGACAACATATATAAACATTCAAGAAGAAGAATAGTTTACTTTCGCTACACGAAACATACTTTCGCAACGCGAAAATGACTATCGCAACACGGAAATGGCTATCGCAACGCGAAAATGGCTATCGCAATGCGAAATGAAAATCGCAACGACAAGATCGCAATGCGAAATGAAAATCGCAACGACAAGATCGCAACGCGAAACATAAATCGCATTGCGATTTTCATTTCGTGTTGCGATCTTGTCGTTGCGATTTTCATTTCGCATTGCGATCTTGTCGTTGCGATTTTCATTTCGCATTGCGATAGCCATTTCCGCGTTGCGATAGTCATTTTCGTGTTGCGAAAGTAAACTATTCTTCTTCTGTTTTCATTTCGCATTGCGATAGCCATTTCCGCGTTGCGATAGTCATTTTCGTGTTGCGAAAGTAAACTATTCTTCTTCTGCAAATTGAAACTTGAATGGATTGCATTACTTCAACCAAAAGACAAAAACAAAACCAAAAACAAATACTAACAAAAACAGTTTAGCAGTATTGGCAGCAACCGAATGAATTTATTAAGCAATCTAAGTGAAATGGTTAATCTAAGTGAAATTACGAGTAAATTTATCATCAAGTTAAATATGAAAAATCTTAAACTTACCTCGTTGCGTAGAGTATGAACCTCATTCTGCAACGATGCCACCAT